TTTAGAATAATATACCACAGCACATGCAGCAGAGAGAAGGACCTACTGAGTCATCAGAGTTCCTCTCAATTATTATAATTGTTTGTAGCACGGGTATGTGCATGCACGTGTATGTGTGTGTGTGTGTGTGTGTGTGTGTGTGTGTGTGTGTGTGTGTGTGTGTGTGCACATGTCATTGGGTCCCTTGCAGCTGAAGTTAAAGTCACGTGTGAGCTACGCAGTTGTGGGTGCTGGGATTTGAACTCAGGTCCTCTGATAGAGCAATAAGTCCTCTTAAAGGTTGAGCCATCCCTCCAGCCCCAATATACAGCATTTTCTCCCCCTGACTATTTTCAAGTAAAAACAAGGCTAGTAATATAGCTCAGTGTTCAAGAGCTTGCCTTGTAACTCAGTGAACTTCAAAAGTTGACATGTTGATATCACCAGGCATAGCATATGTGCCTGATACAGAGTAGTGTTAACCAAGTGTTAAATGAATGAATGGATTGCTCTTGTTTGTGGGGGTTGTGTAGGTTTTCCTATGGCGTTATGAAGAATTCAGGAGCCTAAGCTGGTCTCCGTATGAGGAATAGACTCCTTTAAGAAACCTCTCTAAGGAATTGGAGAGATGGCTCAGAGGTTAAGAGCACTGAATGCTCTTCCAGAGGTCTTGAGTTCAATTCTCCCCAACAACATGGTGGCTCACAACCATCTGTGGTGAGATCTTGTGCTTTTTCCTGGCCTGCAGACAGAACACTGTATACATAACAAATAAGTAAACCTTAGACCCCCCCAACCTCTAAGTTTAGACAACCAGAGAACTCATTTGAAGTATATGTAACTGAATAGTAGCTGGTATCCTCCTATCCCCAGACACGTGGTCCTGACTTGACACTGTCCCCAAGGCCTCTGTCTACTGCTCTGCAATGTTCGTGTTAGTTGCATCTCATTGATCTCTGACTCTGCTCCTGTTGTTTGCTCCACATCAGCCTGTGTTTGGAGATCAGCTTCTGTAATTTTCAGAAAGTCCACTTTCATTAGCTACTTATGTTAATCACTTTACTGACTGCTCATAAGGTCATAGGCCAGTGTCACTGACTTCTACACAGCATTCGGCATCCTACCAGCTTTATTTTTCCCTATTTCTAGTTCTTTATTTCAGAAGTAACTTGAGTACTTTCCCTTTTAACCCAGAAGCTTCTCAAAGTCTTGCTTTTATTTCCTCTAGCACTTGGGAAACTATCACTCTTACAACAATGCAGTTCCCATTCTTATTTAGATACTGTAATAGTTAAAATAATTTAATATTTATTGCTATGTGCACCAGTACAATTTTATTCTATGGTATCTGTCATATTAAAGACATTTAAAATTTTCTTGACAACCTGCACTTCATTTCCATCTTTGATGCATAGAGATGAAATATACTGATTCATATGATATGTTAGTTTTGGATTTTAGACAGTTATTGGAAAATACAAAGATATAATGTCTTTGCTATTCTGTGTACCTTCCCATAGTAAAGACTTGAGAATACAAATGCACTTTGGGTGTCCATCCAACAATGAGAGATGCACTCTCACCCTGGACTCTCAGGGGAGGGTCTAGGCCCTGCCCCGGATGAAATGACAGACTATGGACAACCCCATGGAGGGCCTCACCCTCCCTGGGGAAAGGAGGGGATATTGGAGGGGTTGGTGGGAATGGGTGGTCCTGGCTGTGAAAACGAAGGAGCCTATACAGGTCACGTGACTTGGATGAAGGGATTTACTTTGATGGCAGTCTTAAGACAGGCTGCTGTAACTAAATATAATTAAGTAAAACAGAGGCCTTTATGACATACAATGGGTCTGAGTGTTTTACCCATGTCACAAAGGTCGATGGACCTTGAAATAGCTCAACCCCGAGAGAAACTGATTCATTTATACAGTCATCCACCTTCTACCTGCCAACGCTCCAGCTCAAAGATATTTAGCAATAAAATTCCTCATTGATTGCAAACAGAATCCTGCCCCAGAAATTGTAGTGTTTACAGTTAAGTATCTAACTAAGTCACATATGATAAGCTTTAGAAGTACACTTGCCACCCACACAGTAGGGGGGCCAGTCCTCATGATGCTTTGTTTGGATTCATAGGGCAGAAATACCAGCTCCCCTGGACCTCTATGACAACTTGACAGCTTTATGGCCTCTCCTTACATTGTACAACAGTCTGCACTGTTTGCACTCCATCTTTCTTCCTTCTCTCCTTCACAGAGGATGGGCCTTGCACTGTGGGTTGATGACCCTTGCAGCCATCCCAGTCTCTCTTCTTGTTCAAACTTCGCCATCTGACCTGGATTGAGTAGAATCTTATCCTAAGAGACCTTGCATTAGCTGCTTTGATCTATTCCTGGGTCATAGGGCAGGGTGAACAAGTGAGTCTTGCTTGGTGTCAGCATGTTGTACCTCTTGGAAGCAGGCCAAAGCTGTTTTAGCCAGCCTCCAGGGTGAAAGACTTGCTTCAAAGAAAACTATTCCTCTGGGTTAAACTTTCAAACCCTTAATGTTTTGGGATGGTTGTTTGAAATTCTTTTATATGTCATGGCCTGGGTAGTTCACTTGAACAATATCTTTGCTTTTCTGTACAGAGCAAATGTGACACATATGGTTTTGATAGAGGAAAGCAAGGAGCTCTCGTGAAGAGGAGGGTTATAGGAAAGGTTAGTAAGGAGAATCCTTCTGGGGAGAGATTTGGGGGGGAGTGGAACTGGCCCACATCTGTTCAGAAGAGCAAATATTTCAGACTGCAGCAGGAGCACCAAATGGAGGAGGAATTTGGCTCAAGGAGAGGCCAGGCCAGGGACTCAGCACTGAAAGGAAGACTTTTCTTCCCTTCCCTCCCCTCCCCTCCTCCTCCTTTCCCCCTCCCCTCCCCTCCCTTTTTCCTCTTCTCCTCTCCTCTCCTATCCTCCCTTTCCCCCTCCCCTTTCCTCCTCTCCCTTTTCTTTTCTTCTTCTGAGTCAGGGTCTTGATATGTATCCCAGACTGACCTCAAGCACGTTATCTCCCTGTCTAAGCCTTGAGAGTCCCAGGACCACAGGAGTGTACTACCACCACCTGGTTAAGGCAACCAGCCTGCCTTTTCCCTCAATCTCCCCCTCACTACTCTCTTGCTCTCTCTGTCTCTCTCTGTCTCTGTCTCTCTCTCTCTCTCTCTCCATACACACACACACACACACACACACACACACACACACACACACCCCAAACGCTCATTTCCACACTCACCGCTCTCAAGTCTAAGCACACAGGAGCTTTGGAAGCAGCAGAGATTCTGATGGAGCAGAATATTGTTAGCTTTATGCTCAAGCAGTTACAATGTCATATCTACGTCCAGCGCAAGGGTCTCTGACTAGGTGGTCTCTGGACTGTGGCCTGCAGCAAACTCCCTAGAAGTCATCAAGCATGGGGCAAGTTCCTCTACCTGCTGAGCCATCTTGCCTGGCACAAATAATCTGCTTTTCATTAAGAAATAAGAATATATATTTCATTTTTAATTTTTTGTCTGAGAACATATATGCATACTATGTACTTCATTTGTAGTTTTGAAAGGAATTTACTTATAAGTATGGTAAAAAGTCTTAGGTGCAAATGTAGTGAAATGGCATCATTTCTGTGAATTTTTGTATGTGTGTGTACGTATATACATATTTGTGTATGTTCAAGAATGTGCAGTTGCATATGTGTGAGCAGGGGTGCATGCACGTGTATTTGTGCATGTGTATATAGGACAGAGGTCAGGCTCTAGTGTCGTTCCTCAGGCCCACTTTTGTTTTTTTGAGACAGGGTCGCTCACTGACCGGGAACCCACTAAAACAGACTAGGCTGGCTGGCCAGGGATCCGCAGCAATCTGTCTTCATCTTCTTTCCCACCGCTGGGATTAGAAGTGTATGCCGTCATCCCTGACTTTTAAAAGGTGGCTTCTGGGGCTCAAGCTCAGATTCTTATGCTTCCAAGGCAAGTACTTTACCAGCTGGGCTGATTCTGCAGCCTAGTTCAGTGGACTTTAAAGAAAGATGTTTCCGCTGGGAGAGATTGCCATTGGACTGAGAAAGCAGGGGTGGGTATGGTGGGTGGGAGCAGGGAACGTGCTTGGTTGAGTTTTAAGAGTAGCATTCACAGAGGCTTTGTAGGGATAAAGAACCGTTTACCTAAACCTTCAATATCCCAACCTTCATCCTCTCTTCAGGGGCACTGGTCTGGCATCTGGGTGTGGCTCATCTCCAGCAGTGCGGTTCATGAAAAGAGTTGCTGTCAGGAGTGTCCATAACCTGCTCTTTGTTATGTTGCTCAATGTTTGTGGGCATCAAATTGCTTGTGTCTCTTTTAGGTTTCAGTTCCAAGAAAATGTCTCTCACAACTGACACACCCCCTGTTATCAGATGGAAAAGACTGGCCATTATTGAGATCTGCCTTGCTTACCTATAATGCCAACGTTAGGCACAGGCTCAGTCACTGTGACATTTTTCATCTGCTTGGGAAATATATTTTACTTCAATTTTTATTTTTTTCAAAATGTGATGATTATTTTAAGTATTATTATGTAGGTATTTTAAATTTTAATCTCTTCAATTTTTTTCTTTTGAGACAGGGTATCACTATGTAGCTCTGGCTGGCCCAGAATTTGCTTTGTAGACCAGTCTGGTCTCAAGCTCACAGAGATCCACCTGGCTCCTCAGTACTGGGATTAAAGGTCTGTATCACTGCACCCAGCTCATGTGTTCTTTCATATCTAGCTGAAATTACAGACTTAATATTGTAAATGAAATTAGTCAGATTGTATTTGCAATTAAAGTGCCATTTTCTACAACAGTTTTAGAAAACTTATGGTAATGAATAGCACTATGGTCTAATCTTATAATGAATAAAATAATCTATTAGTAAGTACTTCATTAAGAGTGGAAGTTTTAGAGAACTTTATGGTAATGAATAGAACTATGGTCTAATCTTACAATGAATAAAATAATCTATTAGTAAGTACTTTATCAAGAGTGGAAGTTTTAATAAATAAGCATATTGCATGTGAGGTTACAACCTTTAGTTCCAGAGCTCAACAAACTAGGCTCCAGTAGAAGCTTCATCTCAAGACCAGTGGCTAAGGGCATGCTCCATAATTGTCCCTCAGTGTCATCTATCAAAGCTCTACCCATCTCATAATTTCTGTGAGAATTAAATAAAGTAATATACATGATGTACACATAGAACAATGTCCAATCTGTGAGATCCAATATCTATCTATATGTTGTAGCTAGGGCATATTATTTTCATTTTTGCATCAGTGTTTCTGTCAATATACAGGAACTGTGTCTATTAGCTTAGCTTGCAATGTGAGTCACTTAAAGTCGTTGCATTTGGTCTATCATCTCATTTTGGCTACAGGTATTTCTGAGTAACCTCATCGAGACAAAAGACCCTAAGACCTGGGAACTGTGAGCACAGTGTGCGTAGAAACAGCATGGAGCTCAGTGCATGGGATTTGAAACGTCTACCACGGTGTAAATTGTTCAGTTACCTAACCTATATAACTTGCTTTTCTTTTTGAGACAGGGTCTCTCTATGTAGTCTTGGCTGTCCTGGAACTTGCTATGTAGACCATGTTTGCTTCAAACTCACCAAGATCTGCCTGCCTTTGCCTCCCAAGTGCCATGACTAAAGGCATGAGCCAGCATGCCCAGCTATGACTTGTTTTTTATTCTGCATAATTTGTTTTTTCATATAATTCAAAACCGCTGTGTCTGGAAGCACTATCTATCTGTGTTGGTGTTATTGTATAATACTGTTTGGAGACTGATGAATTTCAGGAAAGAGTAGGATGATAAATATATTCCATGACCTTAATTTTAGTTTTATATCTAGACCCAATTCTTCTAATCTCCCTATAATTAGTTATCCTACTTGTTACCCTGAACTGTAAAAATTATAATATAGATGTAATTTCTTTAGTCTTTTTTCAAAGAGGCACTGATGAATGAGAGGCACTGATGGGAAAAAGTGTCATGCTGACAGGTTACAACCACTGAAGTTGGAAAAAGAAGGCCAGGATAATAGCCAAAAGCCCCAGGATTTTGAGCAGGAAGGATGCTGAGTTGTTGGATGAAGGCTTCAGACTTCGGGTCTTTAAGGGCTTCAGGATCCTCTGTTTCTGGGTGAGGATGGCATTCCTGGCTCCTTCCCACTGCCCAGGTCCAACCAGGCGGTACTGGTAGGAATTGCAGGGCCCAAAGTAGAGTTTCACAGCCAGTTTAGGGTCTTTGAAAAAGAGAGAGATGAGGTCTGGCTTCACACCTATCTCCAAGGCGAGTTCATCCAAGTAGTCAATGTAATTGGTCTGCAGTATCTGGCTCTGGCTTTTTCCAAACCTTAATGAAGTAAATAAAAAAGGACAGATTCACAAAAGGTTCCAAGTTATATCTTAATATGAGCCACTCAGTAGCTGTTTAAAGAATAAAAGAATGAATGCATGAAGGCATGAGTTTTGAATGAATGTCTGGGAGGCTCCATTAGGAGGCTCATATCTCAGATTGATGAGTAGGCCACAAAGTAAACAGACAAATTCACGGAGATTCTAGACATCTAATGATGTTAAGATGGTGACTATTATTTATTACTTATTAAGCTGCTGTAAGTCTCCAAGTAAGATTGTATGGCTCAGGATTTATACAAATATTCATGAGGTATCAGAGAGGTGGTGTCTTCCAGAGAAGAGACACACAGTATTCCCTTGTTAAACTGCTAAAGTACCCTGTAGTCCAGCTGGCATGTGGTAAATGCTCAACCTATGTTAGAATTAAAATTTGCAATGAGATAACTCTTTGTGTCTGTAAGGTCTCAAGTCAATGTTGCAAGAGTATTCATTACTGTCAAACTCAAAACTCAGTTCCACCTCAGCAAAACTGACAAATTAGGTAAGCCTCAGGTTACTGTCACCAGCACTGCCTCATGCCATTCCCTGAGTCTGGGTGGCATGAGCAGATATGGAATCTCACATGGGCATCATAGAAAAGAAAAATAAGATTAACCTAAGGAAATATATCTGAATTGGTACCCCTTCCTTCCCTCCTCCCTCCCTCCCTCCCTCCCTCCCTCCCTCTCTCCCTCTCTTTCTTCCTTCTTGAGTTTTGGGTCATTAAACCAGAATGTCTAAGAGTCATATGAAAAAAATAATCAACTTACAAATTTTCACTCTCATCTACAGAACAAATTTGTTTGGACTGGGCTGTGACTCAGGACAGTATCTTTAACAGCTAGCTGTCTCTCATGGGCAGTCAGAGCATGGTATTTGTGACACACCACTCTATGCAGACATTATTTTATAAGGGAAGTTCTTACAGGTCAATTCTTTTTTCATTTCTTTCAACAATGTCCACCTTCATGGTACTCTCTGAGGGCAAGCTACACAAGCCTAGAAAACAAAAACAAAAACAAATTTGCTTTGAATAGTGAGTTGATATGATATTGTTGATTTGCAGAGTAGTTGTTTTCTAAAATTAAGTGTTGGCCATCTAGTCATGTCATACCATGCAGGACCTCCATGCTTCCGAACTCCAGGCATGAGAATTCCCTAGTGAATCATAGCCAGTGGCATTAATTGCGAACTGGAGAGGCCAGAGAAAGGCCTGACGCAGGAGAGCACGCTTGAGAAACTATGTCAGGTGGGGGTGAGTTCTATCCTGGCACTGACAGGACCCTGTAGAAGACTTTCCTGTGTGAGGCAACAAGATTAGATTTACCCTTTGGAAGGATCCATCTGGCTCTTTGGTTGAGGAAAGAGGGTTCAAGGAAGGCGAACTTACAATTAAGGAGACCAGGTGAAAGACTGTTGAAGAAAATCTGGTGGTAATGAGAGTGGTCCCAACTAATGAGGGCAGTTGGGCTAGATCAAACAATGAACACTGTGTGTGGGAGCCTATCTCCTGTGCTCAAGGGTCCTGTGAGCTTCAGAGGGGAAACATGGCCAGCCTTCTAGCATCTCAGACTTAAGTAGTCTGAAGGCGAGTTTGTCCTTGAGACCCTCCTGTCTCTATTCTCATGCACAGCTGTCTATCCAGTCTCCAGTGCTAGGTCCTGTAAGCCATTCTTGATCCTTCTTTTCTGTGTTGAACCATACGGCATGCCCTACTGGCTTTGCTCCAGACTGTTTCTAATATGTATGTTCTCATTTCCATTTTGTCTCTCGACTCTGACCCAGGCTGCATGGTATTTTAGCACAGGTGAGTACTGGCTTTAAGTCTCTATCTCTGAGTTTTAAATATCTGTTCCAAACAACTGATGGAATTATGTTAAATGTAAAGTAGAAATTTCCTACTCTTTGAGTATAACCCCTCCCTGGTGTTCCTGGGTTAAGAACTTTCTAAGATGCAGATTCCAGGTTTTGAGGCCAGACTTAATCAATATGGCTCCTTAAGGATCAGCTAGACAATTCTGAGGTGCACTAGATTTGGGGAGAACCTATTTACATTTGTATTTTCCTTATCTTTCCCCTCCTTCTCCCTCTGTCCCTCCCTCCATCCCTTCCTCCCTCGGCCCCTCCCTCCCTCTTTTCCTTCCAAGAAAGTCTTTCTAGAAGTCCTAGCTAGACTGAACTCGCTATGTTGCCCAAGATGCTCTCAAACTCTCATCCATCCTCCCGATTCCAGAGAACTGAAATTACAGGCGTGAAAGCACTTGAAAAGTAGAACCAAGAGATCTGGAGTTCAAAGCTAGCCTTGACTACAAAGCAAGCTTGAGGATAGCCTTGATTACTTAGATTCTCACTCCTCTGCTGCAAAATAAAAATAAGAAAAAGAAAAAAAAAACCAAAATCTCATAGCTCATAGCTAGGATTTCTAGAAAGACTTTCTTGGAAGGAAAAGAGGGAGGGAGGGACCGAGGAAGGAAGGGATGTACATTTACATTTTATAATCCAGTATCCTTAACACAGTGTAAAAAACTTTTGCGTTCTTCTGTCCTCCTCTAAGATCAACCTGGCATCCTGTTCCACCTCACACATCAGTGATGTGGGGCTCACAGTTCTCCACAGGCATCCTGTCCCTGTGTCCTTTGCTCAGGCAAACCCTTCTCTGTACACCAGAAACTCAGACTTCAGGAAGCTTTCCTGGACCTCGTGTCATCCCACTTAGTTCCTTTCTCTGCCACCAAACCACCTGTCATGTTATTAAAACAGCTTGTTTACATTTCTTTCTTATTGACCAGATCTCAGCACAGGCTCAGTGGTCAATGAGGTTTTTGTTGAACATAATTGAGCCCCAGAAGCACGAAAAAATAGCCCTTCAAGGAAGGTGAAGTGCTGTACAAATGAGAAGAGACAAATCTTAAAAATAATTTAAAACTTTGTCCCAGTGAGACGGCCCAGCAGTGTGCAGGCCTGACAATCTGAGCTCTATCTCCGGGTTCCACGAGGTGGCAGCAGAGAACCACCTGCCCGTAGGGTAGCTGGCCTTTGATCACCACAGATCTGCCTCCCCTCCAATAAACACAGTTTTAATAATGAAGGATGAAGGAAAGAATGTAGAAAACTCCGCTAGGTTGAGCAGCTCACTCACCTTTGAAAACTCTCGTTGCCCAACGCGCCTGAAGCTCCACAGTTGGGAAGATGGATCCTAGAGGCTGGATGAGACCCATGCATGCAAGGGTTGGCTTCTCCAGGTGAGGGGGGAACATGGATTTGTACAGCGAGACCCTATTATCCTCCATTTTCACAAGCGAATCTTCAAGGAAAGGAAAAGAGAAAGTATAGCCCGTGGCAAAGACAATGACATCAATGTCCTCCTCCACTGTGCCATCGTCAAAAATCGCAGCCGTCTCCGTGAGCTCTTTGACTCTTGTTTTCACCTTGATGGCTCCATACAGCACTCGGCTGGGGAGATCGTCGTTTAGCACAGGTTCTTTCATAAGGTATCTGAGGCACAAAAGGAAAGAACACACTCAGCACGGGCTTTGACCGAGGAATCTTCAACCCACTTGACGGTTTTAGGGGTGGTTCTGAAAAATACAGGAATTTCCCAAATATCCATAAAATTCTAACTCAACTGTTTTGCCCACCCCAAACTTTGTCACTGACCTCATTCTAATATTGACAATATCTTCCCTTGATAAACAAAGAAAGGCAAGTAGATGACAAAGGTAAATGAGACAACCTGGAGATGAACTATCCCCAGGGGCTCGGTAAGATGTCAGCACCTATTGTTAATCTTTGAGTTTGCTGGTAACTGTTGCCCACTGGTACCTCGATCACTTTTTATGCTATCTACTTTTTATTATAGTTTCATTTAATCCTTACCCAATGATAAATAAAGGAAACCACACTATATTAGCACTGAGAGCTACTGTGGATAAGCATAAGAATCAATGTGTAAAATGAAAATTGCTGACATCTACTGGCCCTCATATCCATAGACACTCTGTTTGTGGTGGCTTGGAGGGTGGGGCAAAGTTTGCTTGTATTTCTGGAGTTGTTGGTTTGTAAACCATTCTCTTCTCTTTTAAAAATAAGGCAACATATGTGCTGGAGTCTTAATTCAGCACAATGGTGCATCTATTAAAAGACTCTAAATATCTTTCCCCCCTCCTCTGGGGAGGGAGACTGTTATCAAGTGAAGAAAGGTAAACATCCACAATGTTTACTTGTGCTTACAGTACTCAAGATGTGTGACTTTGATACCAGCAAATATTTGCCTTTTGGCCATGAAAAGGGATATGTTCTCATGGGAACAGCCTTCAGCGGATATGGACAGCAACGGTTGACTTACCAGATGAAGAGCTAGCTTTTCCTAACACAGTCTTCTTGAGGAGCCTTCTCCAAACTTTCTGACTGTTAGGCAATCAGTCCTAGCCTGCTGTCTGGAGCAGCTTCCAAGCTTCTACCCCATCTTCTTAAGTAACATTATAAAGACACAAAGTGCAAATTTGGAATTAAGACCCCAGGACCAAAACAACTACACATACTGTTGGGCCATAGCTTGAACTACCATGCTAACAAACTGGATCTTTGCAAAGAGAGTCAGCATCAGACAACCTTGCAGTAATAAGCATACCACAAAAAGAAAAATAACACTACTTGTTTTGAGGCACCAGACCATAATTTTCATGGTTGAACCATCGATTCATTTGCTGTTCCATCATCCACTTGACGACTGTGCGTGGCAGGACATTTCGGAGCATGCTGCTAAACCTAGTGTGGAACACCATGTCCCAAGGGTAGCCATCTTCAGAGATTCGGCTCATGACCCAGGCACCGTGTCTGGTGCTGATAAACACCTGGTGAACAGAAAGGAGTGCAACTGAAATATGGGCTTTGGCCCTCTCGCAGGAATCTCTTGTACAGGTGATATGATAGGTGTTTGGTGGCACAATTTGCTGAGTTCTATTTAGTTTATTAATTTGTGGGCAGCGTATGTGTGTTCGTGTGTGAAGGTTTATGAGAGTATGTGCATGTGTGCATGTGCATGTGTGTGCATGCATGCACGTGTGCTTATGCGTATGTATAAGGATGCCAGAGGTCAACCTTGAGTGTCATCCTTTTGGTTATCCATCTTGGTTTTTATTTGAGACAGGGTTTCTCATTGACCAGGAGCTCACCAATTTGGATAGGCTGTGTGTCCAGTACGTAGGAGTCTGCTTCTATTTGCCTCTCTAGAACTGGTAGTATGTACCATGAAACTTACCTTTTCCCTCCCTCCCTCCCTCCCTCTCTCCCTCCCTCTGTCTCTTCTTTGTTTCTCCTTTTCTCATCATTTAATAGTCTCATACGTTTATATAATAATGAATTTTAGTTATTTCCTTTGCCTCATTTCCCTCTCTGGTTCTGGGGTGTAGGTCAAGCCCAGGTCCTCTGCTTGTGAAGAAATCAGTTTGTCTGCTAAGATACATCTCCAGCTCTCAGGTTCCATTTGAAGAGTATTTGACCTCAAAGTAAGGTTCTCCTAGCCCTTTCATTACCCTTTGGTAACTATGTCCTGCCGAGAGCTATCCGGTAATGTTCATGGATAGAGGAGTGCACCAAAACCCTGATAATGTCCTGGAGATATGAGGAAGCCTTTGGACTAATTCTCATGGTTGGTTGTCCAGTCTCTCCTGTGTCCAGATGTGCCCGAGAAACATCTCTGTCCTTTCACTCTGCCTCCCCAAGGAGATCCGGTGAATAAGCAGAGGCCCTGCAAACATGTGCCTACTGTGTAATGACTGCAGGCAAGCATGTAGGGATCCAGTGTCTCTGGAAGAAGAGCAACCACCTCTTTCCAGACCTAAAAGTACATTATGAGTTTTGGTGGTTAACATCTCTCTCTGCCTGTATGCTGGGATTCTATTTCTCCTCAAGTACACAACTCTATAACATTATTTTTTAAGATTATAGATATGACACACCCCATCCCTTTCCTATCTCTAGTTCCTCGCATTCCCACCATGTACACTCTGATCCCATTCCCTTTCAAAGTGATGGCCTCTTTTTCATTAATTTCTGTTGTTGTGTGTTCTTTGCCTTGAACATTAAAATTTTTTTTGTTTTCAAAATATACACTTAAAAGTCTTGTCAAAGATGTATCCCCCCCCCCCCTTTTTACGCTGTCTTCCCACGGTCCAAATGAAGTGTTTCAGCTTCCCAGTTTTTTTTGTCTGATCTTATTAGATTTGTGCTGTTAACATTGTCTTCAGTGAATAAACAAGACTCATTTGCAAGGCATCCAGTTTATCAAGAGGTCTAGATCATGGACTCAGGGTCCAGACTGTTTAGATTTGAAACTCAGCCCCACTACCTAGCTGAGCTATTTGGGTTGCTCTATGCCCTAGTTTTGGTTTTTAAATTATTTTTTTAGAATGGGGCAGTGTAGCATCTGTCTAAGGACATTATTGTGTAGGCTAAATGATGTTATAGATATACTATGAAGTATAAGCACAAACTCACATTGTTTTGTAGATTGACCTTAATGAAGGCATTGGCAGTTTTTTTTTGGGAAGGACGCCAATCCTACCTAAGCTTGGGGAGTAGCACATACCCACGCATTGCTGTATTCTTGGTCTCTGTGTGGTCATATGCTTATGTTCCAATTTGTTCCTGTTGTTGCTCTTATGCAGGCTTGACAACATTTGGAGTAGGTACTGGATATTCTATTTGAATACTCTATCACCATTTCTTTCACTAATTTCCTGCTGTCTTTCTGTGGGACCAACATTGTATTTTCCATTTTATTTGTTTTCTTTCTGTTTTGACCCCCTTTGCTGCAGAAAAATCTAAGCTAGATGAAGACTGTGATCTGCATGAGGGTCAAGGTTCAGGCTGCCATCTCTGAGATACAAATTTCCAGTCCTAGATGTGAGCATATGAGAACTTACTGTTCTGTTTTAATTTTAAACTTGTGTGATTCATAAATATTGAAGAGGAGCTCTATGCAAAACACGAATGAGTTATAAGGCATAGGCATATCATTAAAGTAGCTGCTTGGTATCAAATTTGGCCAATACTTAGGCTTGTGAACATGGAATGACCTTATAAAGAAACGGCTCTTGAAATTCAATAATTGATTTTCTGGGACATGTGTTCTGAATCCAAATCACTGACCTGGCACATGCAGGGGCCTTGAATGACTATTTGTCTAATAGCAAAAGCAGTTCATTGTCTTTCCGCACTCTCTTCTCAAGTTTTAGAGGTGTTTCCAGCATGAGGGAAGCTGGTGACTGGTGGCTGCCACCCTTTTCTACTGTGTTTCAGATTTCCAGTTATTGCTTCTTGTTTTCTATGGCAAGGGCTGAAAGCTGTGAAAAGTGACAGTGATCTATCATCTATCTATCTATCTATCTGTCTGTCTGTCTGTCTGTCTGTCTGTCTATCTATCTATCTATCTATCTATCTATCTATCTATCTATCTATCATCTTATCTAGTATGTCTGTATGTATCTGTTTGAGACAATGTATCCCACAGGACTGGAGCTTGCCAAGTAGATAGGCTCCTGGCTAACAAACCTGTGGTATCTACTTGTGTCTACTTCTCCAACACTGGGATTACAACTATGTGTTATCATGCATGGTTTAAGATAACATTGGTTCTAGCCATGCTTGTGCACCAAGCACTTTGTAACTGAGCTATCTCCTGGTCCGTGCACTCAATTTCCAAAAGTTGGTTCTTAAAATATTAACAGGTCAGGCCATGTGTGTTGGTGAATGCCTTTAATCCCAGCACTTGGAAGGCAGAGGCAGGCAAGTCTTTGAGTTTGAGGCTAGCCTGGTCTATAGAATGAGTTTCAGGACAGCCAGGGCTACACAGAGAAACCCTGTCTCAAACAAATAAACAAACAAACAAGCATTAACAGACCAGTTTCTTATTAGGCCCCTTGGTAAAAACTAGGCCTTCTGAACCAGAAATATCTAATTGAAACATCTCATTAAAAGAAAAAAAGAAGGCACACCAGTTCCGAGAAGTGGAACAATTGACCCTCGGACACACATCTAGTTAGCGGCAGAGGTGGAAGTGAGACTCTGGTTTTGTGGCTTCCAGAGTTCCTATGTTGTCACAACAGACAGCCACCTATAAAGCAATGGACCTTTGCTGTACAGCTGGGTACTCCAGTTGTCTCTCTCCACCCTTTCCACACAGTACAAGATAAGCAAAAGCATCATACCTGCGAGGCCTTCTTACTCAGTTCTGAGGCAATGTCTGTGGCTGAGTTGCCTATTCCAACAACCAGGATGCGTTTCCCTTCAAACCCAGCTGGGTGCTTGTATTGGCGGCTATGGAAATACTGGCCTTTGAACTTCTCGATACCTTCAGGAAGAAGAAGGGGGAAACTGAACTTCCAAGTAAGCAACTATGACAAGTTAATTTCAATAAAACAGCATGGTCCATTTTCCCTTTTTGATTTCTCATGCCCTCTCTTACAGGAGTTACAATAGTCAATTATCAAACTCTAAGTAAAAACTCCATAAGAAATATTAGGTCCATGTGAGAGACTGAGTGGCTGGCCTGCTGCTGGCTTCTCACTAGCTATTCTGTTTTGGACACTCTATGACACTCTAGTTTCACATCATAGATGCATTTAAACTATTTTGAAATAGTGTTATTGTAATTGTACAATAATTAGAATAGTATTTATCCTTTTGCAAAAGCAAATAACCAGAAGACTAAACCCAGGCCTACAGAAGTTGCTCATTGAGTGACTCAATACCCATTTGATTGTTAACCATTTATGTGCCTCTTTGTGTCCTTCCAATGAACCCCTTTTATACTTCCCACTAGTAGATGGCTTTGTTAAAGTGTTCTTTGCTTTTAGTGTGGGAAACCCTCATATGAAGCCTTTTTCTAACCCACTGTGTCATATACTTTCACCAAGGACTCTGGGAAGGGAGTGTTCTTTGTGACTCCTTGTCTAGGGGATGATTCCTGATTGGGAAGTGACCTAAGAGGGAAGGATGGGGCATCAGGACAGATGGCTTCAGGGAACTACTCCTGCATTCCTCCTTCACCTCTGTCCTGCCTGAGTGGGCATTTCTAGGAATTCTCTCTAGCAACTCTTGGCTGGTAGAAAAGGCTCCAAAGATGTAGCACCTTTATGGGTGTGGCAGACAGAACATTCTGGGTAGGCATATGGCTAAAAGGTCCTTTTATAGAGAATGAATTTTGTGAGAATTCTTTCAGTTTCTGGGAAATTTGTAATGATGCTGGAGGAAGTTAGCTGAGCTATTTGAGAAGACCCAGAGAAGGCAATAGAAACAAGATGGTGCTGGCATTTTTCAGCTCTCCAGCTGTATCATTCCCATTTTATCATCCAATCTTACTATTATTCCCATTCATAGCAGCAAATCCTGCCTGTCCATCTAAACTTCATGCAAGATTCCTGAAAGCCTACTCCTACAGGCTGAGAAGCCCCGTAGATTCACCTGGAAACGACTTCAGTGGCAGGTGAGGTTGGATGTGATGGCCGCTGCAAACCATAACTGCGTCAAAGACAGCATGTTGCTCCTTGCCATTGCTCTGAGTAGAAACTTCCCATTGGCCAGAAGATGAAAAATCTGGGTGTTTTTTCACACTAACGACGGTTGTCTTGAAAAAACATAGAGAAGACCTCATTAATCACTCTGGCAGGGCCCTGAAAGTAAGGATGGGGTGAGTGTAATATATAACCCATGTTTTTCTTCAGTCCACTGCCAGCCTCTAAAGGCAAACTTTGCCAAGTGGGCACTTCTTATTCTTTGGCAGGCAAACACAGAGGATATTCTCAGAAGACTGTCATTCACAGGATGGCTCTACCAGGAATTGGAGGGGGAGCCATAGGAGGTAAAGCTGGACATTTTAACAGGATTTACAAATACAGATTTCCATGAAGATCATCTGTTAATGTTAACATAACACAAGCCTGATGCTTATAAAACTAATGTTTCTAAGAAAGTGAAATGCATTAAAAATGAGCCCCATTATAGCTAATAAACATAACCCTGTCCAATTTGTGGGCAACGTGAAATAAGCTATTTGATTTTCACATGCAAAATCTTACCAGGTGGGGATTTGTGATATTACTATTACTCCCCATTTTTAGTTTCGTAGTAGTTGCATTTTTAAGGAGCTATGAGCATATTCCACAACTCTCTGAGGACTGTAAGGAATACCTGTTGTGATTAATTTTTTATTGAGTATAAAATATCTGAATGCTTTATTTTAATATGCAGACCTATTGTCTGTGTTTTATCATTTTTTGAACTCCCATGCAAGCAAAACATCTAAAACAGTGATCCATCACATGCTTGGTAACACTCTCAGTTTGTGTGGTGAGAATCAAAGAACCTGAATGCGAATACCTATCAACTGCCATGTGTACAATTTGTCAAATTTTGAAACATTTGTCATAAATGATTAGGAAATAGGCCTCTAGGACTCATGTTTAAATTAGTTACATATAAATATTGTGGGCACACCTCATTGTTTGATGATTTTCTCAAGCAGTCTCTCTAGTTAGACCAAATTGCTTTTTTAAACCTTTGAAATTTTGATGATGAAATTTGACAACACTGTAGAGCTCTCTCCACCACAGTTAAAATGACCAACATTGTTAGTTTATCTGTTTACTCATTTCCCCTGGCAGGTGGGCTGGGAAGGTTTGAATGAACTCTTATGTTACCCACAAAACATGGCAATTGCATTTTGAATTTGTTTAAATAGTGTTTTAACCAGATCATTGTTATTTCCAATGTACTGAACTATCTTTATTATTTGAATAGCTTTAAAAACATAATGATTGTCAGTATACAATTAAATGTATCATTTACTGGAACTTGAAAAAAACATTGCAACAGCTCATAAGTGGAGTATCTGAGCTGAAGCCAGAGTTGTTCATTCTACACATTTCTTACCATCTATGCCATAAGCTTCTTTTTTATTAAAATATCCATTAGTAAAAACTAGTAAAAAAATGAGCCCCATTAAAGTTATTTATCCAGAAATGCATTTTAAAATTTAACAATGCTCCATGCTTAATGGCAACTTGTTCCTTTGCTGTTCCTCTTTGTAGAAAGTACAGGAAATGGTCATTTCAAGTATAACTCAAAATGATCTGCTCACCTTTCTCTTGCTGCAGATTACGTGCAGAAAAGAAAAGAAATTAGGAAAAAATAGTTACCATGTGCACCTGAGATAAGTGAAAAGTAGAAAGTATGTTTAATACATTTCTATGAAGAACTTAAAAAAGAACAGTTGACTCAACTTCATATAGCCTTCCGAGAGGTACGAGGCTGGAAGTCAGTGGCAGGAATGGTTTAAATATAGTTTAACATTATTTTTATCATCATTTAAATGTTTGATTTTAATGGATGGTTCCCCCCTCATTCATGTGTACCATCAAAAAGATCAGGAGCAATGGGACCACTTTTTGGGTGTAATACATGCCTCTACCTTTCAACAAACCCACCAAAAGTGTGAGAGTTTATTTGAATTGCCAGAGTCAGTTTTCTATTTCAGTGTGAATTGAGTTAAGGCAGAAAAATTCACTTCCAACCACACACACGGTACCTGAAACTGAATATACTTTAGAAGATCAAACTTCTTGGCAAAAATCCTGAAATACTCCAAGAGTTTAGAGTTGTGCAGGAAGTTGGGGAAGTCCTCGGGCATCGGGAAGTCACTGAAGCAGGACATTTCTTTGCTGGTGTTGGTGATGACAGAGTGATAGATGCTTGCTCGGCCATCTTCCACATTTTCCTAAAGGAGCAAGTGAAATAGTCAGTGGCAACGACTTTAATACTAGTCTTACTGGTGTTAAAAGTCTTCTTCCAGAATCTAAACCCTGAGTGATGTGACTCTCTTTCCCTGCACTATCACGACTAAAACACATGGGTGCAGAGGAGTAGCACATATAATTCATCATTCTTTGTGATGAACCTGTTTGTTGTCAACTTTTTTGGCACATTGCAGAATATTAGAATATTTAGCATCCCATCTTCCTACCATGTAACACCAAACTTTGTGAGCTAGTTGCCTTCTTAAATTCCCCTAGGGAGGCTTTATTTATCATCTCCCCTTTAAAGACTAATAATTCCTGGGACACTGAACACAGAATTTAAAATTAAATGAGTGATTTTTGGAGCAGGGAGCTTTACATCTTGATTTGACCCCATAGGTCTCTATTTTGTGCTTCATTCAATTTAGTCTTCCTTAAGTGATAAAGGGGTCAGTACTGTGATCTCTTCTTTGTTTTTCTTTTTTTTTTTTTTGGCTTTTACGAGACAGGGTTTCTCTGTATTGTTTTGGAGGCTGTTGGTCCAGCCCGGCCTCGAACTCACAGAGATCTGCCTGCCTCTGCCTCCCGAGTGCTGGAATTAAAGGCATGCGCCACCACCACCCGGCGTGATCTCTGCTTTGATTCCTGACTCCAGCATCCTGCCTGGCTCTCCATGATGATGGAGACAGTAAGTAACCTATAGGCTGAAATGAACCCGTACCTCCTGAAGTTGGTTTCAATCAGTGTTTTATCATAGAAACAGGAAGCAAACTAAGACATCAATCAGATCTCAAACCTTGCTAAGAATCCCATAAAACATTTGTTATGATTGTATTCTAAAGTCATAGGCTGCATGATATCCTTCATGTAAATTTATGTAAATAAATAACTATGACTGGTGATTAGAGACTGAATAAACCTATGACCAGACAGGCTTTTATTAGAAAATATAAATAATGGTGTCTAAGAAGTCTTCAGTGGATGTTTCTATGTATACAAAGACTAAGCTATAATCCAGAAAGAGTAATTGCCATTTTACTATGCAGTAGAATGTTTGTAAAGATAATAAAGATTGTAGAAATTCATCAACTGAATGTAATTACTTAACCTTATTGTATGGCACCATAGTGTTTTCTGTAGAGAAGTTTAAAAAGAAAAATATTCACTTGTAATATAACCAGCATTTTAAATAAAGTATGCATGTATCTTTATTGTATTTTTTTAATATAGAGAATTATTCCTTGCCTGCCATGTTTTTCAGTCTTTGACACCATCGAAAGTGGTCATCTGAGATGGGCATGAGTTTTATAATGAACATTAAGTCAGCCACAGATAGATAGCATGACTCCATCTCAGAAAGGCATACATAAAGAAATAAAACAAAGCCAAAAAATGAAAGAGGTAACCAGGACTAGAAGAAGATGAACTTAGTCTTCATAGTTAGATGTGGGTGTCAACACATCTCTTTCTCTATAAAGAGAGAAGTCTGGACCAATTTGTTCCTCTCATCTGTGAGGCCAGGATGTAAGAAATACTCCATAGTATGAAGAATGCCATTAAGTCCAAGCATTGATACTATTACAGCTTCCTAGGCATTGAAGGTTAATTTGGGTATCAGCTATTCTGATGATATAAAATAACTGGTGTAGTAGCTCACTATTACACGTGGGTATTCTGCAAGAGGTTGTACTTGGTCTCGGTGAGTAAAAAGGAGCAAGCTCTTGTGACTTACTGTCCTCGGGCTAAGTAGAAAGCACTCTATATATTGGGCCTCACTGGATCTTAGTATCAGGGTTTTCAACAACATATTACTCACTCTTAGAGCAGGTTATTTAAGAGACATATTCAGAATTATTGCTAAATACAGATTTGATTATAAATTTTTCTCCCTTATATTCCCTTCTTCTTTCTTCTTTTATCATTCACTCATCTGTTTATTCTCTCATGCCTATGCTTAGACTTGCCCCATTGAGTAGTGTGTTTATTTTTCCTGGACTAGAATCTAAACTTGATAAATAACTGTTCCAGCTGCAGGTGGCTTGGGCAAAGGCAGTCAGAACAGAGTCTGCAGCCTTTGCACTATGCTGGATCTCCAGAAAGGATTTATGATTCTGTTATTGTGAAATGTATATAATACAAAATTCATTTCATGGGATTGACATGTGAAGCAGGCTTATTTCTAATTTAAGTAAAAGTAAAAAAATGCATTTCAGTAAAATGAAGTGTTTTCTGACTTTCACACAGGGGTATGATGACTTGAGCATTGGAATTTATTTTCAAACACTAGCTTCAAATTGTGCAACACTGCAGTCATATGGATGTATAAACATTTTTCTGGTTATTTGGGCATAATTGAACACAATGTCCTTGGCAAGACTGAATACTTGGGTTTCCTATCCAAATAGAGTCTTAAAATAGGAAATACTTCATTAAGAAAAGAAATGTGTTTTCCTCCTCTCAACACTACCTGATTTTGAGTCGTGTTGAGTAAACATCGAGGGTTCTATGAATATTTCAGTGGGATTTGTCCCTCCTGACTATATTCATGCTTCTGCAAACATAGATAAGTTACACAATCCAGTTTCTTCATGTTCCTATGTCAAATGGGCTTCGTTCACAACCCAAACATTAAACAGCTGTTCTGAGGTTTACAGAGATTAGATAGGTGCTTAGCACAATGCTTGTCTCCAAATATGTGATAAGTCAATGCTTGCCTCTCTCATTATTGCTACAGATCACCAGGGTAACTTCACCAAGGCAGAAAAACATTACACCCATCTGAACCAAGACTGTTCCATGGTAGCTAAAACGTTAGGACTTTTCAAGAAGCATGATTGGACTCTCCGTCAGGATCTGAGGATGAGAAGGAGTCAATCTAATTTCTGATTCTTAACACAAATTTTAGGGTCAGGCTGAAATATTCACCAATAACGATAGCATCACAAATCTTTTTTTCTAAGGAGAAAGCGATAATCTATATTGACTTGATTGGTAGAAGTAGTTTCTTAACAAAAGCTGTGTGTGGTTGGGGGTAGCAGAATACTTATCTAGTATGTCTAAGGCCCCGTTTTCCTCTTTGAGACAGGGTATCTGTGCAGCCTTGGATGTCCTGGAGCTTACTTTGTACACCAGATTGTCCTTAAACTCACAGAGATCTTCATGCCTCTGCCTCCTGAGTGCTGGGAGTAAAGGTGTGTGCCCCAATGCCTGGCTGCCAAATTCTTTATGGGTGCTTCTTAATTTATTTAGTTGAGTGATGTAGAAGTCTATGTGTTTAGATAGGTAAAATTGGCATATTTTCATAGTTTCAAATGGACAATGATGAATACTGATTTAATAATGCTTTATTTGGCCTGGACTAAGCTGGGAGTTGGGGGCAGGAAATAAACAATACAAGAAATATTCTGTCTTTGTTAAGCTTCTTACTGTATTGAATTCAAATGCATATGGGCCTTGGAGCTGTAAAAGTGAAGATGGAGGGAGGAGAGATTTTCCTCCATGCTAGACAGAGACAGTATAGAGCATCTTCAAAGTGGTAAATCCTACTCCATGTTTACCAATATGACTGTGACTTAAAGTGGTATTTATGAAAAAAATAGTTTTATTATCACAAAATTTCACTTCCTATTCATTCACTAGTGAAGATCTAACTCTTAAAGGTATGAAGAAAAATAAGGCACGCCAAGTGCTTCTTTGCTGGTAGAAGTGCTAAAATGTATTTAATTAATCACACTTCCTGTATCCCAAAGATGACACCAGGGGGCGCTGCAGAACCTTCTGGAAGAATTCAGTATCACCTAAGTCAGGCAAGGCCCACAGATTTAAATATTTTTGGTTTTGTCTCTAAGTTAGCACTAGACGTACCAAGTGATGTCAGAGGATTCTGTGTCAATGAGGGAAACGGTAAAGAATCGATTTGCACTAGTTTAGGATGGTGTAGTTGTGAGGAGCAGTTTCCCTGGGAATGAGCATGGAAGCCCCCAGAATCCTTTTCCATAGTCTTCTCTCAGAAGTCCAATACCCAAGATGCTCATGGGGACTCAGTGGTAGCCTGTGCAATTTGCTTAGTGTTTCTCTCTACAGGAAGGAGGTCTTTGAGAGGAGAAAATTATTTATCACTCTCCATTGGATATAGTCTAAGAGAGGCTTGGCATATGTCACTATTATAGTCTCTAGGAAATTATGTATTTAATGTTATCCAGTAAGAATCAATTAATTCCCATTTTAATCTATTTTTTTCCAAAATACATAAGAAACTATATCTGATTTTAAAATGTGTTACACGGGGGTTGTGGAAATGCAATAGGAACCACCTTCTAGGAATGTATTAAACCATATCGTTGACAGACCATTCAAAGTAGGTTTTACCTCTTCAGATAACAAATTTGTGACAAATAAGGAGGACTTTGTATTCAGATATTAAGTCTTACTCATTAAATCTGCTACAGGTCCATTGAAATGGCTCACTGGGTCAAACTCTTACAGTACAAAACTGATGATGTGAATTCAATCCCTGCAACCATGTAAGGGTGGAAGGAGAGAACCAATTCTACAACGTTGTCCTCTGAGCTTCATACACATGTGACACTGGAGCACCCAAGCTCACATATCACACCCCCCCACACACACACAAAGTTAAATTTGCTGCAATTTAAACCTACTTAGATACAAATGAATACCCTGTATTTGAGCTGACAGTGGAGAAATTATCAATTAAGCAGGGATATATTACATTACTTTCTCAGGAAAAGTTGTAATTCTAGAAACCAGTGATTATTAAGATACAGGCGTGGTTCCTCTCTGTAAAGCCAGTCATCTTATATAAAGGTTCTCTGTCATTAACTCTGTGTTTTCTCGGTTGGATGAGTACATTTTCATTTGGCACCTGTCCACCATTTGCCAAGCTGTCTCATTATTGTAGGGTTCATTCCAGAATTGCATGTATCTTTTCAGGAGATTTCGATTCTACATGTCTGGTATTGAGTATATTTTCTGATTGAGGCAGAGTTTTGTCACATAGCCCAAGGTGATCTCAAGTTTCCAATCCTCCTGCTTCACCCTCTTTAATGGTGGAGATCTAGACATGTGCTACCTCTCTCGGGAAGAAATGCAAATATTTACATTCACAGGCCATAGCCTATATAGTTGTCTGTGAATCTGCCAATAAAAATTTGAATGACAGGTAGTAATGTGAAAATTTAGGTTGGATAATAGAATGACTTTAATTAAAAGAAAATGTCTAACAAAGAGGTTCACAGCAGCTATACTAGAATAGAGTATGACCAGAAAAGCTCAGTAAACAAGTGTGGTTTATTTCTAGAGAAAAACAAAGTCAGAAGTGATAAGGGCCTGTTCTCTGAAGAAGTATTTGGTTTAATTATTAGGATAGAAGTGATGTCTTAAAATAACTCTACTTCTGCTTTATGCTTCTTAATATTAATGCATTATCTAGTTAGTCTATTAAAAATGACAAAAATATGGACTGTTTTGAAATTAGCTAGATTTTAAAGGATTCCTTAATGCCCTGAGATGATCACATAGGTTGGCACAACATTAACCTGGGAGAGAGGCCAGCTTGAGTTCAGTGTCTGGTTGGCTACACAAATAAATAAAAATAAAATTAGATCAAAGCTGCTTAAGAAATCTTGCAAAGGCGCATCAGCTACCTTGAAATTGCAGTGTGCCCTCATCTGAGATAGAAAAGTCACACTTACTTTGAATCTCCACAGTCCTCCGATGTCTTCAGTCCTTTCAAAGCAAGTGGGCTCTAGACCCTCATCCACACAGCACTTCAGAGAGATCAGGCCACTAACACCTGCTCCAATCACCGCAACCTTCTTTGCCATTGTCTCCTGTCAATGAGTGATCAGTCATTACTGCTTAACTAGGACAAAGGTAAGAGAACCTCCCATGGGGTCACGTAACACTAGTGGTGGTAATTTAATAAGCAGCACTGATTAAATAAAATGCCTCACTAATCAAATCTTCATCTCTCTGTCCCCTAGGAGAAACTTGTCTGGTCATATGACCGTCATTGTAAACTTGCTTACCATGTCTTGGCTTATTATTAAAAAGGAATCCATTTAAGCAAGCAAAGTTATTCAACAAAAACAGTCCTGGGGTTGTGAACCAAAGCAGACTGGGCTCTGGAGTTCTGAGCACTTCATTCTCAGCCTCTCTCACCAGTTGTCATCCTTACCTTTGTTTGGGTCTTTTAGCACTGTCCCTTTGGCAGAAGAGCTTCCTCTGTGGGTGGTGTGCAGAGAGATGTGAGTTTTTAAGAGATGGAAGAGGCTGGGAGAAGTGGGAGGAGCTTTCCTCCTCCTTGAGCACTCTGCCAGCTGAATCTCCAAGGACATTATTAGTACTGAGATTAAGCAAGAAGTTCACTTGCTAAGGTCGAGAACACTGAAAACACAGCATACAGATGGTCTAAAGTTCAGTTTTATAGTCAGTATAGAAAATGTGCATTGACAAATTGAAAAGAGTAAATAAGAAAAAAGAAGTTAAAACTATCCCTACTGTTACTATCCAAATATACCTACAACCAGCATTAACATTTTTGAAAATTATTCCGCCTATGTAGTTTATGTGTGTATGTGCCCATGCACACACTTATACACAGAGGGTTTACATGAAGTATTTTTTTTCAATTACTCTTCACCTTACTCTTTGAGATAGGGTCTCTCATTAACTCACCAATTCAGCTAGACATTCTGGTTAGTGAGTCCCAGGAATCCTCCCATTCCCAATTACCTGGTGCTTGTTTCCAGGTGCATGCCACTGAGGCTGGATTTTTGTGTAGGTGTAGGGAACCTGAAATTAGATTTTTTTGTTGTTATTTTGTTTGTTCGTTTTTTATTTTTGAGACAGACTTTCTCTGTGTAGTCCTGGCTATCTTGGAACTTATTCTGTAGTCTAGGCTGGCCTCTAAGTCACATCTTTCTGTCTCTGCCTTCCAAGTGTTGGGATTAAAAGCGTGCATCACCACTGCCCAGCTGAATTTAGGTTTTTACGCTGGTGTAGTAAACACTTTTTTGAACTAGCCATCTTCTCAGCTCTGCTTTCACTTAGTTGTATGTAACACACTTAGCAAAGTAAATACGTGACCACACTCCAAGTGTAATTTCCAACTTAGTGTTTTACTCCACTCTACCAGAAAGTTTGTACAAGAGCATTTTTAATGGTTGCATGGGTTCCATTTGTCTGGTGGTGTCTAGTCATCCATCTAGTAGTTATTCATTTTTGTGTGCTCGGTATTATTTGTCATGGGTCACGGTGCCTGGTTGAGTAGACTATGTCCCTGACTTCATGATTTTTATTTCTAGTACTCATCTGGGTTCTCTTAGGGTCCATGACTTCTGGGTCTTAGCACTCTGTGGTTATCTGTTCCTAGCCAAGATCTGTTTCTCAATTGATTTCTCTGCCTGTATGTTTGCTGGCTCGGATGAACTACTGGGACTTCTAAGGTCTTCCCCCCCACCCCTTGACCTGCTATAGGTAGAACAAGATAAACTTTTTATTTAGTTCTTGGTCTTTTATTAGTGTTAACGTTTAACAGAAGGCTAAACCAGAAAGCTAAAAGGCTCTGTGTATCTTGAATGTAGTCAAAGCAGCAATGGCAAGGCCTCTACTGTCTGACTCTGAAGACCAGTCGCTGGAGGGCCCTGTGTTGCTTCACACATATTAACTAACCGGATTCCAAATGCTTTCCAGGTATCAGACACTCTGAAGTGCTACTGATACTGTAGGGAAACACAGCGAAACTTCTTGGACTTGTAGACCTTGGATGCTAGCGGAGGGGCCAGACTGACAATTAGTAAGATGAACTAGGCAGTGGGTTGGAGGAGAGCCACAGGGAAGGAAAGCACAGAGGGAGCTGTGCAGTGTCACAGTGAAGGGCAGCTGTACAATGTTAAGTGAAGTGTTCAGGGAATGTCAGTTTCTCTAAATGTCCCAACCTGAATTTAATCATGGTGCAGGCTCCTCTTCAATGCATTGAGTGACTGTATGACCCACAAAGGGGACGATCAGTGACTAGGTACAAAGGAACTGCACACATTTCTCCGCTAAAAAGAAAAGGGCACTCAGACTGCAGAGCTTGCTAATAGCCCATGACTAATAATGAAGAAGATGATCCCTCACTTGTGTATTCACCACCCTCCTTTAATTGATTGTATTTTAGAAGCCTATGGCTAATAATTGTACCTGACCATTATACTTAGGAGAAACACATAGATATGTTAGCAAAAAAATTAACTGACTGAAGCTTTGTGATTGGATAGAGGCCGATGGTGTGGTTCTGCCCCAGGTATAACTCATGGGGGGGGGACTAAAGCCATTTAGAGCTAAGCTAAACTGATACCTTTATTCACAGACAAAGCACTGGCAGCTTCTTGACAATAGTGCTAGCTTTATAGAGACAGTCCTGGCTGGCAAATGGTACAAAGGTGTGCCTTGTACCAACAAGCTCCCTGGGAGACTGCAGGTATACCCAGAGTGAATCAGTGAGTTCCCAGGCAAGTTTTCATTAGGAGACCTGTAATTGTTTCCAGTTTCTGCTGTTACCAAAGCACTGTGCACTTTTTATACATCTCTTCCACACTCAACTAATTATTTTCTCTGAATAAATATTTGAGGCAGGGATTGCTAAGTGAGCACATTTGAATTTTTGAGGTTAAGGCATTCCTCCAAGTTTGATGTACACAAGTAGCACTTGGAGATCTTGTTAACACACAGGCAAATTTTTTACAGCTATGACATTGGCACAGATTATTTCTAACAAGCTTCTTGGTAACTCCCGGTGTGTCCTTTTGATTTTTTAACCATATTTTTAGTTGTAACATTCTAATACCTTTAGTCAAGCTGCCTCCCAGGAAGCAGATATATCTTAACAGTTTTTTATAGTTAAAAAGTGCTCTGAATTGTAAAAATACTTTCCTAAACATTAATTCATTTTACTAGCCCAGGTCTATAGGCTTTACCACCCACCTCTACTTTATAGAAGTGGAAATGTATTTTGTATCACTAGGGAATTTAAGAAGAGCCAGGAGGGCAGTAAGTGTTTTAAAATATCATCATATTAGGAGCTCCCAAGAAGCATTGCGTTTAGTCAAGAAGCTACATTTGAAATTCCCTAGTCAAGAAGGCTGACTGATGGACAAGATCACACAAGGCAGTTTTAGGTAAGGTGAAAGTCTATCTAGGACCCCAAATGTAAATGCTCCAGAAAAATCGAGTTTACTCTGGTCTAAGGAAGAACTTTCTAGTTAACAATAATGTATAAATATAGAGGGGTATTCTGTAAGAGGATAATTCTTTATTACTATGCACATTCAAGCAGATAAGCCAATGAATTTTTCACCAATCACAAGGGTTGCAGGTGTGTATGGTATATATGTGGCTAAGTGTAGAACTGAGATTAGAAATCTCGCTGTTATCAGTCAATGCTCTAAATGCAAAGATGCTGGGAATGCTATTGACTGGAAAGTGTCCTGGCTATTGTGGTGGCTGGAAGGTCGTTTTCATAGATGCACATATTCAGGTGGCCTGGAGTGACCCTTACAGCATTCTTGAAAGAGTCCACATCCACTTCACTGAGAATTCCTGTCAGGAGAATATACTTATCAGCCATCTTTTCTTTCTCCTTTGTTTTTTACTGTTATTTATTTAATAGAAATACTCAAACACAGTTCCTCTTGCTGAGAAACAAAGAACTGGGAAGACAGGTTCTCTCACTAAATCACTTTAGACTTTGGATGAACCACAAATCAAACTAGTTTTTCTGTAGATGAGCTAGCTCATCCGTGTTTGCCTTATGATGTGTGTAGACCCATGACTTCCTGCATGCCCTGTGTTTTCTGGGGCAGTGCTTGAAAGAAATAATCCCTCTGGAGATGCAGGATCAGGAAAATGAACTGAGCAAGCTGTTTACTTCCTTTTGACACCAGCAGAGTGGCACGAGAAATCTGCAGAAGAACTTCTCCCACAGCACTGAGTAGTGCACCTATGACAACCCTGAATCAGGTAAACACTTTGAACCCAGGTTTAGAAAGCAGTTTTATTGAGATACAATTCAAGATATCCCATATTCCTCCAGTTTTAAGTGTCAAACTCAGTGGTTTTACTAAATTCAAAGTTGTGGAATACCAAACCAATTTTAGAAGAATTTCATGCCACCCCCAAAGAATTCCTGTGTCTATTAGCAGTCAGTTCTTATTTCCCACCAACCAGTGAGTTTTCTACCCCAGACCTAGGCACTAATTTACTTTCTAATTTTGTAGATTTGCAATTTTTTGAGAAAAGCTCTCATTTTGTAATCATGTCTGGACTGGACTTTACTAGAGTAGGTTAGTTTTGAATTCACAGAGATACATTTGCATCTGACCCGTTAGTACTAGGATTCAAGGTGTGCACCACTACACCTGGCTAGATTAGCCTATTTTGAACATTTCATATAATTGACTCATACAATTCATGCTTGTTGGTGCTGGCTTTTTTTCACTTACAAGGTTTATCCATGTTGTAGCATGTATTAAGACTTCACTGTTTTTGGTTTGTATTTTGTTTTGTTGTTGTTGAATAGTATTTTATTGTATGGATACTATCTTTTTATTTATTCATCCAATAATTGCTACAGCACAAAATGGAAGGTGATTTAAAAGAACTATAAAATTTGGGGACTAATGAGCTTCCCCCCATCCTTAATCCAGTGTTAAATACTTGAACTTTTCTAGTCCCTCAGAAGACTGCACCACTAGATGAGGTATCTAGTACAATATTCTACTACCATTAGGACAAAGAAGATGAAGGTGAGAGCTAAGTCCAGATAGATACATGAAAGGGAGGAAAAAGGGACTGGAGGAAGAGGAAACCAGACATGTGCTCTAGAAACTCTTGACACAGTAAACAACATGACAAGCATGAAGCCGTTTATGGCAGTAATGACAATATTACAAAGAAAACTCTAAATGCTCATCAGTGAAAAGTAGCTAAGTGTCTTGTAATGTATTTCTATCAAGAAAATTTTCACATGATGATGAAAAGTGAAATGCAATTATATGCAATAAAAAGCATGCATCTGATAGTAATAACATTGAGCAAGAAAAGCAAGCAGTTCTTGGAGAGGATGGTTGTGGTTCTTCCAGTTTCAAACAACAAGGATAACATAGGGAAAAGTTTGAAAATGATTTCTCTTAAAGCAAATGCAGTATGACCACTTACAAATGTGGCAGTGATCTTGAAGAGTATGCTCTTAGCAAAGAGATCCTCATTTAATTGTAATTCTTTTGGAGATATGTATTGTGTTGCCATAGTGACTGATTGCAGTTTGATTTTTTGAAGTAGGATAAAT